TCATCTGCAAATTTGGTGAGAAGATGAGACGTCTCTGCACCATCCTCGACACTGGCTCCTACTTCCATCCGAGGTCCTTCATCCCCGAATTGATGTTCGACACCACAACCGCATGCAATCCATACGAGCACGTACTGATCTCTAAGATAACAACCTAGTCCCAATCTTGTAAAAATAATCAACAATTCGTAATCAACCAGTGTGTTCACTCCCAGCCAATCTTACCTTTTTTGCACTATTACTATGTTGAAATGCCCTGTAGTCTAACATTCTCCCCACCTTGTCATTATATATCATATTCGTATCACTTATGTTACTTGTATATCATTTGTCAATCAAGTGACCCATTCTCCACTCATTTAACTGTATATTTTTAGCCTTCTTGGATGCCATGCTCTTTCAATAAACCATTAATTATTATTATTATTATTATTATTATTATTATTATTATTACAATCAAACCCTTCCAATGTTATCTAAGAGTCACATCACCTTGTACAACATTGCCATTCCATCACCCTCCTCTGTCCATCTCTGTTCCATACACCCATGATCGTTCTCGCCCCAAGCTGGTCTATTCCCTCCCTTAATATCTTTAAGTCTATCCTCTAAAGTCTAGACCTATTATTACTGGATAATTTAATGGTGCAGTGATCTGATTGTAGAAAGAGCTCGAGAGAGGGAGGCAAGGAAAGGCAAGTTGTGGTTGGATGAGTGCTGGGAGGGGATGGTTGGGGAGGGGAGGGGAGGTGGATAGAGGATCATGGGGTGAAATGGGGATGAAGGGAGAAGAATGGAGTAAGAGGGAGTAGGAGGGAGGAGAAGGGAGTGGTGGGGAGGAGAAGCAGGTATATGGAAATAGAAGTGAATAGAAGGGATGATAAGGGAGGAGAAGGGAGCATAAAGGAGAGGAGAAAGGAACCACAAGTGTTGAGAAACTCAGCGAGAGGAGTGGAAGCGTATGATGTAACAGCAATATTATTAACAACAGATTACAAACGTGATTTCTAATACTCTTACTATCAACGAGGCTCATTGTTATTATACTCTCGCCTCCACATTGGCTCCGGAGGGAAGAAGAAGGAGCAGGAGACAGGTGTATAATAAGACGTGTACTTTTTACCTGTGTTCACCTGTGGTACCTGAAGGTGTGTCATGAAGCTGGTGTGTTGGGGAGTTGTGTGAAATAGATTGGATCACAAAAGTACATTCTAAAACATAAGTATATTCTAAAACAATGGAAATAATTAATAAAAATGATATATAATTTATTTTTAAGGATATTATACACCTATGCTGTACTTCAAGTGATATATATCTTACATGCATAAAGAAATATACTAGTAATGTTTATCCGACCGTGAAGGCTGACCTAAACTATTATATGTATTTGTAAAGATGAATATAATGTGAGTAAAATTTGTGGTTGTTATAAATTGTTATTGTTATGATCTCAAGACAAATAGTTAATGTCGGTTTATTTTTTCTAGAATGATGTATAAAATGATCAATTCATGTGTAATAAATGACCATAACTAATAAGAGAGAGAGAGATAGAGAGAGAGAGAGAGAGAGGAGAGGAGAGAGGGAGGGAGGAGGGAGGAGGGAGGAGGAGGAGGAGGGAGGGAGAGAGAGAGAGAGAGAGAGAGAGAGAGAGAGAGAGAGATCCAGCTTAACGGTATTACCCTCTCTAATGTTACCCGCTTTCAGTATCTCGGCTCCCACCCGTCCACCACCGCGAATATCGATGAAGAGATTCAACGTCGGATCATATGTGCATCTCAAGACTTTGGCAGACTCCATCCCCGTGTCTTCAGCTGTAGGGAGCTGAAATTATCTACAAAGTTGCACATATATAGGAGCAGTGGTCCTCCCCACCCTGCTATATGGCAGCAAGACATGGGTCACATACAGGAGGCACCTCAAGACACATGAAAACTTTCACCAACGCAGTCTACTTTCCATCCTTCGAGTTCGTTGGAAAGACAAGAGTACAAATGCCAGTATTCTCGCTGACACCAACTGCAGGAGCATCGAGGCTACCATTATCTATGAACTACTACGTTAGACATGCCATGTTACCCGCATGGACGATAGTAGACTGCCAAAACAGCCACTTTACAGTCACCTAACGAATAGTAAACGTAACGGTGGCGGGCAACTGAAAAGGTATAAGGATAGTCGAAAGATCCCGTCACCTGGGAGACGATTACTCCACACCGTAACGCTTGGAGGAGCACCACACGAGAAGATGTCAATAATTTCGAGTTAGCCCGACTGCATAACGAGGCAGACAAGCACCAACGCCGGAAAGACGCTGTCATCCCCCGTCCTGCACTAGTTGTAGCCCTCCATACGTGCAACATCTGTGGACGACACTGCCGGTCCCGTATCGGCGGCCTCTTTAGTCACCTCAGCGCTCACAAACGAAGGTGACATCCTTAACAACTCAGATAATTTTATCATAGCGAGATGATCGTCATTCTCGATTTCGAGTATGTGTGTGTGTGTGTGTGTGTTGTTGTGGTAGCGTGGTGAGTATGTTGAGTGGTGATGTGGAATAATATGTGGATGTGAATGAGTGCAGGCATCTTAGGTAAAATAAACCTAAGTTTTTTAATTCATCTATTCATCACACCTCTTGTACAGTACACTCTGAACTTGCTTGTATGAATATAAACACGAGTCAACTACCATAGCAAAACTCTTGCATATTATGAAATCCTTGTTTACATTATAATTTTTCTCCTCTCTCCTACGCTCCATGGCATGTGAGAGGTCAATTGGTTATATTCTGAGGTATTTCGTTGGTGAACCATGGCCAAGTCGTCTACACACCCACCCGTCAGTGAAACAGTAAAAAAAAACACTGTTGATTTGTGTGTTTGATTAGAATCTGTACTTCATTTCATAAACTCACTTCGTCTGAGTCTTCTCTTCCTCCCTCTCTCCCTATATTTCCTCCTTGTTTTTCAACCTTAACATTTCTCCCTCACTACTCCTTCCTGTCTCTCCTCCATATCACTCCTTCCTCTTTACTTCTCCTTGTCTCTCATCTATATCAACTCTCCCACCCAACTCCTTATCTCTCCTTCCTCCTAATTCTCCCTGCCAACTCCTCCTCCCTGCCTACTCTTCCCTACCGTCTCTCCCTTCACGTCTCCTTCTGATTCATCATATTTACATCTTTCTCCTCCCTCACACTACCCCCCTGCCACCCCCCCACGCACCGGGCCAACTCTCTCACATAACCACCGAATCTCATCAACACAGACCTTGGGCAACAGAGGTAAACAAAAACGTTCTGCTCGCTCGACCCCGACACCTTATTACGCCCGCTTGCCTCCCTTCCCCTCCCACAGCCTCTATTGTACTTCACACGCGTGAACTTGAATCTATTGACTAAAACAAAACATAAATACCTTGTTGTTATTAGGACGTGGGAATGTATCTGTATTTATTTACATTTTTTATAATTTTATATGTTCATGTATTCACTGATTCATTGTTTTATACCTTGATGAAACTCAGGAATTTTTAGGATTATGAAATACGATTATCAGTTGGGAGACAATCAAAGGTTGAGGATGAGCTGTGTGGTGTCTGTGATAACGGTACAACGTCATAATAGTAACTAATGCTGTCAACATAACTGTTTAAGGGATGATAACTATGACACTTTGAAGTCGTTAGTGATTTGCATTTATATAAGTAAAAGGAACAATCGTCAGTTGTGGTTGGTAGAGTATTAGTCAAGAACAACCACAATAATTAACCTAATGAATTTAATTCCAGGTTACACGACAAAGAACTTTCTCTGACCTTGAGCCAGTTGTTGACAGTTTGTGTACACGACCACACCTCCTGTGTACACCGTCACGCCTCCTGTGGTGCTGTGTACTCCCTTTGGCACAGTAAAACTCACGATCTTTGTCCTTCATGTTTGTAGACGCAAAGATTAGTGGGTTTTGAGAAGTTCCAGAGACGAGTAAAATTCATGAGTATGATCTTTGGCGGTATATAAGAGCACCCTCGTAATACAAACCAAAATGAATAATATTGCTAACCTGACCTTCCTTTAATCTAATTTAAGAATCGTTTGGTTATGACGGTACACGAAATCATAAATGAGGAGGCAAATTTTACCTCTCTGTTAAGTAACTCTTATCAAATTATAGCAATAAAAAAGAGGTTATCTGTATTTGGGAATAACATCAATAAGTTTTAAAGCTTTATATCAGGCAAGGGCAACCCGCGGCCCAAACCATGTATTTGTGCGGCCCGCCGAGTGATTGAGAAATTCTATTTAATGTGGCCCGCGGTTCAGGTAGATGTAACCAGCTAATGGTGAGTAAAGCACCTAAGAGTAAGTAACTTCGACAATGTATATTACCCATATATTCACCAAGTCATTCACCCATGAGTATGAATCAATTGGTGAGTTGACATTTCCTCTGGGGAGCAGGCGAGGTCAAGCTTGGTCAGCGCAGCTCAGCAACAACAACCTGACGCGTTTCCTTTAAGACTCGCCTGACAACGGGAAAGAGCACAAGTTCCGAGTCTTCCAGCATCACTGTATAAGACGCCAGTGAGTGACGTCAACAATAACGCAGAGATGACTGTAGTACGATGAAGTAATGAGGAAAATTGAGCCGCAAGATCCTTCCAAGTTAGCAGTGGCCCGGGCGAGACCACACAGCCATGGACGAACTTTGATCTATGTTGTGGGTCGTAAGATTATGAACTTGTTTGTTCACAATATTTTACATGAAATTTAAGAGATAACCGAGACGAACTCTATTGTCTGTACCTTAATGAGAAATGAGACTTCCTTTAATACGTTGGGTTTACATGGGTAAGTTTCTTGGGTTTTGAGATGATAATGAAAGAAAGTGAAAGTCGGGAAGTTTACAAGCAACTGGGGGCAGTTCTTGGGACCACGTCTCCAAATCTGTGAAGGAGACTTTGTTGGAACTCAGGTTTCTGATAGCAAACAAGTATTCAAAAGTCAGGAGTGTATATTTAGAGAAGTACAAACACAAAAATGAACAGAAATATAGAAACTTATTCTAAATGAAAATAGATAGTATCAGTCTACATTACATTATATTGCACTGAGATTTCTTGTATATGAATAAACTCAACTAAATACAAACGGCATGATATCACAGACAGATGACTAGAGAACTGCTTTCTTTACGTACCATTAACTACAGTCATATGAATAATGTCACCTTCGTTTATTTTCAGATATAGTATACTCGTTTGATAAAACTGAGGATGCAGAGAAGAGTTTCGTCGGCCTTAGTGGTCGATGGTGTAGGCACCCAGCAGACAGGCACAGCTGGCGGGCAGCTTGAAGGTCTCGATGGCGAAGGGGAAGTACTGATCATAGGAGTCGTAGACGAGGAAGCGGTGGTAGATGGACTTCTGCAGGCACTTGGACTCGTAACATACAGGCACTTTGGGACAGTCGTCACCGGCAGTGAGACACTCCTCTACGCGGGTGGTCTGAGTGAAGGTCTTGTAGTGGACGTTAATGTTGTTGACGATGACGCGCCACTTGCCGTCGGTGTTCTGGGCACGGAGGGGACGGATGTAGGAGGTCTCTGAGGGGCAGAGGTAAGTCTCCTCTTCCAGGGTGTTGGGACGCTCTACAGAGAGTTCCGCGTCAAGTTCGGCCACGTCGGCGTACAGGGAGTTGAACTTGTCCAAGTGGTACTGGATGGCGTGCTTGATCTCGTACTCTGGGTACGCCTCGTCCTCGAGGCACCAGGTAGAGTTGGTCAGGTCAGCACAGGCGGGCACGGCAGGCTCGGGGTGCTTGTAGGACGGGGCGGGGTGGTAGGATGGGGCGGGGTTGTAGGACGGGGCTGGGCGGTAGACGGGCTTAGGATGGTAGGCTGGGCGTGGCTGATAGTAGGGCTGAGGGTGATAGATAGAGGCCTTAGTAGTGGGAGGGGAAGCATATGTTGTGGGTTCCTGGCTGGTGGTAGGAGCATATGTGGATGGTGCAGGAGTGATGGGTGGAGGGTAGGTGGCAGGGGCAGGATTGGTGGGTAGAGGGTAGGTGGCAGGGGCAGGAGTGGTGGGTGGAGGGTAGGTTGCACGGGCAGGAGTGATCGGGGGTGGATAGATGGGAGTGTCAGGAGTGGTGGGGGTAGGGTAGGTCAGTGCTGGTGGAGTGTAAGCTATGCGGGAGGGGGTGGGGGCAGCGGTGGTGTACCTCGTGGGTGGAGGGGTGGGGTAAGCAGGGGCAAGTGCTGGATATTGTCGGGTAGGTGGTGGGCGGTGGGGCGCGGCATCAGGACTGACCTCGTAGGTGATGGGAGCTCTGTCGCCGAGCCTGATGGACACGTGACTGACTGAGCTGGCACACGTGGCGCCAACCAGAGCCACTAAAGTCTAAAAAAAAAAAAAATATTACTGGTTCCATGACCAAGATAAGATGTACTGTACTCATATCTTACAGCGTAAATAAACTTGTATATATGTGTATGATTATTTTCTACATTATATTGTCATTTCTGATCTACTATACATCAGAGGCTACTGTATTATGGTAATTAAATGTGATTAACATGACACTTACTGTTTACTGATTTCGCTGCATATTGTTTCTAATTTACATTGCTTTTTGGGATAGTCTCAGAAATATGCTCCCAGAATAAAAATAACTAATAATAGTGTTTGAGTGTGTCACCGCTTTACAATATTAAAAAGAACCAACGTTAATACTCAAACATTTCGTTATGAGAAATTAATTCCGTCCTCTATACTATGTCGTATAGGAGAATATATAAGGGATATTACCTGGGTGTTAGAATATATCTTACCAGGACACAGAGAGCCATGAGAGCGACCTTCTCTGTGCGAGGGAGAGATGAGAACTGAGGAGTAGCCTGCGAGCATCCCGGTATATATAGAGCGAGGTTAGGTCCGCCCCGCTTAGGTGAGAGGTACAGGAGGTCAGGTCATCGCCGGGTCTGCCTATTGTCCATCGTCTCTTGGTAATCATACACGGACAGAAACCCCCAAAGAACAAAATACCATCGGATAAGAAAACTACACTGGAATAAACCCTTTAAAACAAAATTCCCCCAGAAAACTGCAATGAACAAAATCCCACACTTAATATAATAAAGTGAACAAAATCTTACCCACCTAATTTTCTAAAAGTCCTTGTCAGCTTAAGTCACCTTAGGGGAGCTTATAACAGTAACTTATCGAACAATTCCCGGTTCTATAACACTCCTTGAGCGTCGTGATGTATTTCTTTATTTTATTGAGTCTACTCTATGTACTCGTATTTCCAGGATATTGTTAGTTACACAGCCTCCATGATCAACATATGATAAACAATTTGCACATGAAGTTCCCTCTTTTTTTGTACCTTCAGTTTAGTTTAATAACGTGAACGAAATTACTACTTCAAGAACAATATAAATCAGTTTGTTGACTTTTCTGAGTCACTGGTATACATTTTGTTTGTTTTTGTTTAACGGAGGGTAAAAAAGTAGTGTTATATCTGGTGAGAGGAAGATGGCAGGCAGTGGGTGGTGCTATGACGTCTTCAATACCGCACACTGCTCTTTGCCTCCAGACCCTTGCAAATGAATAACAATTATTTGGCCATTGAAAAGTGTACACACACACACACACACACACACAAGACATCAAGCACTCGAGAGACAACCCTGACTTAACAGCTAGCTATAACAGCCCAGTAAACACTGTTGTTTAGTTAAGGGTCGACTTCCCCTTCCCTCCCTGGCCGTGTACAGTAATAGTGGGGGACCTCGACCCATCCTGCCTTAAGACCACCGACCCTTACTTCACACTAGGTTTTTCCTCCTCCTCCTCCTCCTCCTCCCCCTCTTCCTTCATTTGATTTTCCTATCTAATCCGGCTTTTTCTTTCACCGGTCTCTCCATATTCCTTATTTATCTGATCCTGTCTTCTTATCCGGCTTTGACCCAATTCGTCTCGCAATGACTAATCCGGCTTTCCTTCTTCTCTTCTTCATCGCACCGCTGTTCCATCATCTTAATCTGATCTTTCTTTCATTCCTACTCAAAGCATTCTTCCCCCTTCTCTTTGTATAATTCTTCCTTCATATCCGGTCTCTTCTCTCCCATTTTTATCTGTTTCTTGTCTTATTTCTATTCCTTTATGTGTTATTTTCCTCCCTGCTTCTTACTTCGACTTCTATACCTTTCTATAATTCTAAACCTCTCTTTTTATCTTTATTTTACTTGCATTTATTCATCTATTCTCGCTTTTTATTCAGTCTTTACTCCTCCTTGCCCATCACCCATTCCTCCGTTTCTAATATCGTTCCCAGTAATGTATATATATCTACCCATCTACCCTTATACTTTCCCTCCTCCTCCACGCATCACCGGGTCTCTACTGCTATGACTTGCACCATCGTTCGTCAACAGTGAATCCGCCTTGGGGTGTATACAATCCATATAGACTTTCCATATACCTCTACTGGGATGATATATGGTTAGTCAGGTAAAATTAAAAAGGGATTTTAATTTAATACTGTAGCTGTAGCGGTTTAAGATACTAATTATATTGCCCTGTTAAAAATCTTACTACTCTGAACACAAGGAAAATCAAATAATTTTCCGTTATAAAAAAAGAAGTCATTATAATAAAATTTAATCCCAAACGTTAATCTTACAGAGGAAAACTTACTGTAGTTGAGAGAGGAAGAGAGAAAGACAGAGAGGAAAGAAGAAACAGAGAAGACAGGAGGGAAGAGCGAAAGAGAAATTTTTTAATATAATAATAAGGGATAAAACTTCTTACATTAGCGTCTCTTACCAAAATAACAAGAGAGAGATAGAGTTGATCCTTATACACAATAAATACAGATGATATACGCCTCAGTTTGTTGATGCCGCCTACTATATCAAGGTTAGGTTAGTGAAATTTCGCTTTCTGGTTATTTTCCAAACAACCACATCGAGTTGTGGTTGTTTTTCGATCTTTGAGACATATAGCAGTAGCAGTAGCCAAATAGGTAATTACAACAGCAGTTTCGACAACGATTTTATAATTATAAACTCTTGGAACGATCTGACACAGTGTCGTGACGGCACCGAATGTGACCTCATTCAAGACCAGACTTGACCAACACTGGTGCAGGTACAGGATACAGATGCATTCTGTAGCCAGTACATGCCCAGTACTTGTCAACGGTACGTAAGAGACGTGACCGACCATCCAAGAGGCTAACGAGCCGATCAATGGCGAAGAGGATGCAAGTAAAAAAAAAAGGAAAAGTAATAAACACAGAGGGTGGGGGAGGGGGGGGGGGACGCAGGGAGACACCTTGGGGTAACAACAACAGGTCGTGAGGGACACCCGACACATGAGGGAGTGGCTGACAAGAGCTAATCCTCCACCGCTCTACTTCTGCCCACGACTGTTTAGTGCCTTACGCAACCACAACAGTGTCCTCGGCGAAGACCTCTCTTGTAGAAAGGAGAGAGGGAGAGGAGAGAGGGGGAGAAATGAGAAATATTGAGAGAACAGAGGAAGAGAGGAATGAGAGAGAGAGGAAGGAGGCATTTATGAGGAGGGAAGAGGGGTGATAGATAGAAGGGGAGACGAGTAATAAAAAGAAGAAAAGAGAGAATGAAACAGAGAAGAGACAAAAATGAGAATGAAAAGAGAAATTAAGGAAATAGGGCAGGGAGATGAAAGGGAGGTGGGAGAAGGGGGCGAGGCATCTTCCCTGAGGCGTCGTGATGCAGCAGTAGTGAGGGTGGGAGGACAAGGTGTGGGTGGGAGAAGGAGGAGATGGTGAGGGTGGTAGGTCGAGGTGAGGGTGGGAGGAGGAAGATGGGTGTGGGAGGAGGAAGGGGTGAGAGGACGAGGTGAAGAAGGGAGAGAGTAAAAGGATGAAGGCATGGGAATAATCTATTGGGGAAGGGTAGAGGAGTGTGTGGTGTGAAGGGGTGGAGGAGAGTGGGTAGAAGGTGGAGGTTTGGAATGAGGGCGGAAGAGTGTAATGGGTGGCTTAGAAGAGAATGGGGTCGGAAGCTTTGGGAAGGTGGAGACGTGGGTGGGAAGAGAGTGGAAGTTAGGTTAGGTTAGGTTAGTGGTATACAAGGGAGAAGGAGCATGAAGTGGATGGAAAGAGAGTGAAAGCTGGAGGTATGTGAGGAGTGTGAAGTAGGTGGAAAGGGAGTAGAAATATGAAGTATGCGTTTGCGGAGTTGCGTGAGAGTATACAGTAGTTAGGGGGAGTGTGGAGGAGTCACGAGGAATAAAGGAAAAAAATGGTAGTGTGTGTGGGAGAGGAGAGATTAAAGATAATGAATGGATAAGGAGAGAAATACGAAGACAAAAACTCGCTTATAGAAAGAGACACATCGGCAGACTTGAAGAGCTCTTTGCTAACAATAAAAAGAGACTAAACATCTAAACATTCAATCTTTTTCACATTAAATCTTCCTGGTGTCAGTTTTAGTGTTTATATATAAGGCAAACTGTACTACAAGCTTTGTCAATAAATTTGTTAAACTAAAAAAAATATACATATGAGAGAGAGAGAGAGAGAGAGAGAGAGAGAGAGAGAGAGAGAGAGAGAGAGAGAGAGAGAGAGAGAGAGAGTATTTCTCCATGGTCAACAAAAGGAGTTGGGGCGGCAGGGCAGGAGGTGTGGCTGGGGGCAGAGCAAGAGGAGTAAAACCTTCTCGTTCCACTACCTCTGTGTGGCCACTGTTCAGAGCGACAGAATACTCTACCCTCTGTTAGGACTACGAGTGTCAGGTGAATAGCTATAGGTAAGTAAATATTTCACATAGGGGAAGAGCGGCGCGGCCTTATTAAGGGAACAAGAGACAGATAAAGAAGACCAAGAAACCCCCAACCACAGGGCAGGTATAAGAGGTTCTTGTGACGAGTGAAGGAGATGAATAGTAGCGGTCGTATATTGTGTGGTCGTCAGGTATGGGTGAGAGGGTGAGTACAAGCTTAAAACTTTTTTCCTTTGTCTCGTCATTTGGGTGATGTTGAATCTAAATGGAGCTCTCTCTCTCTCTCTCTCCATCTGTTCATCCGTCCATCCACCTACCTACCTACCTACCTATCTACCTGCCTCTAAATATGAAAAAAAAAATGTCCTAAATGTTCCAGACGGTATAAGAAGGAAGAGCGTGTGTCACCAGCCACAAGATCAACACACACTCCCGGCTCCTCCTTCACTACCCTCCCTCCCTCCCGGCTCCTCCTTCACAACCCTTCCTCCCTCCCGGCTCCTCAACATTCCTCCTCCTCCCTCCCGGTCCTCCTTCACTACTCCCTCCCGGCTCCTACCTTCCTCCTCCCCTCCTCCTCCTCACACTCCTCCTTCCTCCTCCTCCTTCACTCCCTCCCTTCCGGCCCTCCTTCCTTCACTACACTCCTTCCGGCTCCTCCTTCACTGCACTCCTCCTCCCTTCCGGCTCCTCCTCACACCCTCCTTCCGGCTCCTCCTTCACTACCCTCCCTTCCGGCTCCTCCTTCACTCACTCCTCCTTCCGGCTCCTCCTTCACTACTCCTCCGGCCTCCTCCACTCCTCCGGCTCCTCCTTCACTACCCTCCTCCTTCCTCCTCACTCACCTCCTCCCCTCCTCCTCCTCCTCCTCACTCCCTTCCGGCTCCTCCTCACTACCCTCCCTTCCGGCTCCTCCTTCACTACTCCTCCGGCTCCTCCTTCACTACTCCTCCCCTCCCTGGCTCCTCCTTCACTACCCTCCCTTCCGGCCTCCTCCTTCACTCCTCCTCCTCCCGGCTCCCTTCCCTTCCTCCCTCCTCCCGGCTCCTCCTTCACCACTCCTCCCTCCTCCTCCTCACCACCCTCCCGTTGCTCACCACAC